ACAGGTCCTGGTGCCCCCGCCCTGGGGATGCCCACGGGCTGCCCGCAGCCTGCACGGCAGGTACCCGCCTGGTCCCCTCCACCCTTGCTGCCGGGGCCTGCCTGAGCTGCACCCAAGCTGGGCTGTGCTGCCCGGACTGGGCCCCGGGCCCCAGCACCTGAGCCCAGCCTCTGCCCGGGGCTGATCTCCCCGCGCACACGCATGCACACATGCGCATACAGATGCACACACAGACACACACAACCAGACACACACACACACGCGGCACCTCCCTGCTTTCGCACAGGGACCTGGGCAGGGCTGGTCCAGGCACCGGGGAGGTGGATCCTGCCACCCTGGCTGCATGGCTGGGCTCTGGACAGCCTCTGCTCTGGGAGAAGCTGGGAGGCACTGGCACCTCCAGTCTCCAGCAATTCCCTGGCTAAGAGCCTGCTCAGACCAGCCCTGTGCCCTCCTCCCTGCTCTCGCGGCATGAGCAGAGCAGCTGGAAGGTGGAGGCAGCAGCTAGGGGCTAGGCCCAGCCGGAGTGCAGCATGGCCGCAGCCCAGCCAGCCCCTGGCAGCACCACCAGCCACCAGCAAGGAGGGCACGGGAAGGGGCACCAGCCTCTCTCTGCTCCACTGGTTCCTATTGCACCACACCAGGGCTCCAGCAGCCTTGGTCCCAGCCAGCCCAGCCTCGGCGGGGGAGCTCCTGCTGCTCTACCTGCCCCGGCTCAGAGCTGACCCCAGGGTCATTCCCCCTCTCTCCCCCACAGCCATCTGGAAGGGTGCAGCATGGCGTAGCCACAGCTGGCATGCAACGGGGCTGGCTCCCAGCCAGCACCCAGCAGGCACTGCCCCTCACTCCCTCCTGGGCCCCCCTGGAGCCTCCCAGCTGCTGGCTGCTTTCCCAGCCTGCGCGGAGCTGCCAGGCCTGAGCAGGGGCCGTGCCGCTGTGGGGAGGGATGGTAGGGCTGGCAGAGGTGAATGTTTAACCATCGGCTCCATTCAAGCAGCTCCGGGCAGGCTGGGGTCGGTTCTGGCTGGGAAAGGCTGCAGGGGAGGGGACAGCCAAGCACTGAAGCGCTCCCGACTTCACCGTGTAGAGAGCTGGGTTCAGAACCATGTCCGAGCCGGAGCAGGGCCAGGAGCCGGGGCTGGGCACAGAGGCCAGGCCACGACAGCCAGCCCCGCCGGCCCGGTAAGGAAGAGTCCCAGGCAGGGGGAGGCCCCTGCGGGCACAGAGGCATGGCGGGGAGGGTAGCGGGGGATGCCCTGTCCCAGGGAAGGCAGAGGGCTGCACAGTTGGCTGGGCCTCCATCCCAAGTGCTCTGGGCCCATCCCCTCCACCAGCAAGAGTCAGCAGTCCCGTGCCCAGGCTGGGGAGTACAGAAGGAGGCCGGGGAGCACTAGGGCTGCAGTGGGCGAGGTGCAGGGTGCTGGGGCGTCAGGGCTGTGTCCTGGAGCTGTCCCTGCCCTGGCACCAGTGCAAGGCATCTGCATCCATCTGTGCTGTCTGCTTTCCCCGAGGCGCCCTGATGAGGAGCTGGCAGAGCCCACCCAGGGCCAGGCAACGCGCCTCTGTGTGGTGGTCAGGTACGCAGAAGGCAGAAGGGCCAGGGCACCTGCAGGGCACGGGTGCTGGCGGACCCAGGCTGGCAGCCAGCTCTGAGTGTGGGCAGGCCCAGATCCCTGGGTCACAGGTGGGGCAGACGCAGGACTTGGGATGGGGGTCCACGGGAGTGGAGGCTGTGTGGGAGGCAGGGGCAGGGGCTGGGGCTGAGCCAGCTGCCTGGGGTGACTGTGGCCATTCATTCCCCTGGGCAGGGTGCGGCCGCTGAGCTGCGCAGAGCGCAGCAGAGGGGACCGGCAGGCGGTGCACTGCCCTGGCGACAACACCATCGCGGTGAGTGCCTCCCCCCGCAGCGCAGCGCCTGCAGGCAGAGCTGTCCCTGAGCCCAGGCCTCTCTCCTGCTGCCAGGTGCATGAGGCAGGGCAGGAGGCTGCATTTGGATTCGGTGCGGTGTTCGACGCCGGTGCAGACCAGGCCGAGGTGTTTGAGGGCAGCGGCGTGAAGCGGCTCGTCGAGCTGGCGGTGGATGGGTGAGAGCCCAGCGCCCACCCTTGGGCTCTCCCCACCACCAGCTGTGGGCTAGGACCCCTGCCTGGGCACCCTGTGCTACCCCTGCCTGCCCCCGACCTCTCCCCCAGCCATGCACGCATCTGCCAGGGCCTCCTCCCCCACTCCAATGACTCCAGCAGGTTCTGGACTGCACTGGCAGGCGCCCCCTCCCTGCAACCAGCAGCACCTGCCCACTCCCAGGGATGACACAATGATGCTGTGGCAAAATCCAGGCCAGATCCGGCCCTGCTGACCTGTGCTCTGGAAGATGCAGCTTCAGGCTGCTGCTGGAGCCCCAGGGGCTGAGCTGGCTTTGCCCCGCTCCCCAGGTTCTCCTGCACCGTCTTTGCCTTTGGACAGACAGGCTCGGGGAAGACCTACACACTGACAGGGCCCCCGGCTCAGGTGAGCGCAGCCCCCTCCTACCACCACCCGCACTGTGAGGGCCCACCATGCCCAGATCCGGGGCAGGAGTGCTGGGCTGAGCTCCCACAGCGGGCACCCCACGGCTGTCCCCTGCAGGGTGAGGGCCAGGTGGCGCCCAGCTTTCGGGGTCTGATGCAGCGCTCCTTCGCCTGGCTCCTGGAGCAGAGCCAGTGCCGCAGGCCTGATGTTGCCCTCAGTGCGTCCTACGTGGAGATCTACAATGAGCAGGTACGAGCCCGCCCTGCTGCATCCCCACTGCCAGCCCAGACCCCTACATCCCAGCCACATCCCCCCACCCCACATCCTCCCTGCCCCAGGTGAGGGACCTGCTGAGCCCAGGACCCCGCTGCCCTCTGCCCCTGCGCTGGAGCAAAGCACGGGGCTTCTACATCGAGGGACTGCTCAGCACGGAGATCGAGGGCCTGGAGACCATCATGGACCTGCTGCAGGAAGGTACTGGGGGCAGTCTGGGCTGGGCAGGGCCCAGTGGCACAGAGTGACCCCAGCCAGTGGCACCGAGCGTGGCCTGCAGGGAGGCGTCGGTTTCAGCAGTGGCCACGAGTGGCCAGCCTGAGCCCAGAAGGGGCTGTGGCCGGGGCTGGTGGTTGTAGGCTCCTGCCCATTGGCGAGGGCAGGCTGGGGTGGGCAGCTCGGCCCCCAGCAGCCCCTGCCCCCCGGGGCCTCCCATTGCAGGCGCACAGCGGCGGCAGAGCTCCGCACACACGCTGAACGGGCACTCGAGCCGCAGCCACGCACTGCTGACCGTGCAGCTGCATGCCCGCGGGGAGGCGGTAAGTGGGCACATCTCAGGGGTGCAGCAAAGGGGGCACGTAGAGGGGCACCGTGGAGGGACGCACAGGAATATCCATTCGGGGGGAGCGTGGGGGAGGGCAGGCCCCAATACCCCCTGGCACAGGGCACCACAGGCTGCCAGGGAGCCAACCTCCTTCCACACCTGCAGACAGGCCCAGGGACCAGCTCCTGCCTCGGCCGGTGGGGCACGCTGCGCTTCGTGGACCTGGCCGGCAGCGAGAGGGTGAAGGACACCGGCTCAGTGGGGCAGCTGGCCCGGGAAGCCAACAGCATCAACCGCAGCCTCCTGGCCCTGGGTAAGGCCCTGAGCCTCGGCTGGGAGCACAGGGGCAGGGAACAGCCGGGGCACGTAACGGGCTGACGGGCTGGTCCTCCCTGCAGGGCACTGCATCGCACGGCTGGCGGAGGGCCAGAGGCGCCGTGCCCACATCCCCTACCGCGACAGCAAGCTCACCCAGCTGCTGGCCGCTGCCCTGGGCGGTGCCGGGGTCACGCTTATGGTAGGAGCCCATCTGTGCCTGGGGTCACAGGCCTGGTGACCCCACCGCTTTCCCCAACCTCACTGCCACAAGCCTGTACCTCCTTCCTCACCGGTAGGTCGCCTGCGTCTCCCCGTCCTCACGGTGCCTGCCAGAGACGCTGAGCACGCTGCGCTACGCCAGCAGGGCCCGCAGGGTCACCAGCCGGCCGGTGGCAACACGGGTAAGGCCGGCGCTGTGCCCGGGGTGGGAGGTGCCGCTGGCTGGAGGACACTCTCCTCTCACCCACATACCTGTGGCTTCCCAGGTCTCCCGGGAGAGGCGACTGCGGAGCTTGGAGCAGGAGATCCAGGCCCTGAGGGAAGAAAACCTCACCCTGCGCCAGCAGCTGCAGATGCCCAGGACACCGGGCAGGCCCCCCGGCACCCTCACCACTCCCCTGAGTGCGCATGGCTGGGGCAGGGGCACTGGGGCTGAGGGCCCTGGCACTGGGGCACCTCAGGCTGTGGGCCTGGCCCAGGCCCCTGGCCATGGCGCTGACACCCACCTGCCCGTGTTCCTTGCAGACGGGCCCGCCGGCACAGGCAGCACTCCCAGGCCAAGCGGGGTCCCACAGGGGCCACCTGGCATGGGCTGGCACAGCCTCCTGCAAGACCTCCTGGTGGGGAACGAGGAGCTCAGGTACCTGCCAGTGCCATCACCTAGCCTGGGATGGCGCCTTCTTGCATGGGTGGAGACCAGCTGGCCCCACAAGCTGCAGGGTGCTTGCTGCTCTGCGCACACGGCCAAGGAGGGAGATCCGTCATCCAGGACCTCCCCAGGGGATGGCACTGGAGCTGGGGAGCTGCCAGGGCAGGGAGGGGGCACTGGAGGTAGATGCAAACCCCCACCCCCACGGTGGCCCTGGGCTGCTGGCAGGTGCTGACATGCCATTGCTGCACTCCCTGGGCAGAGGGTCTGCCTTCCCCCACCGTCCCCGTCCCTGCCGGGGCTCTGGGAGGGACTGGGCTGCCCACTTACCCTGCTTGTTTCCAGGCACTTCGCACTGCTCCGCGGCCGCCACTGCTGTGTCCTGGCCCCACGCTCCCAGGAGGATGCCCACGTCTCATGCCCCGGCCTTGTGCCCTGTACCCTGCCCAGCCATGTGAGTCTCCCCAGACGAGGTGGAGGCCTGATGGCTCCGTGCCTCTGCTTCCGCCTGCAGCCCTCAGCTCAACAGATGCCCCCCTGGGGCAGCCGGCCCCCTAGGCTGTGCACCAGAACTCCCTAGAGGATGCCATTCGTGGGTGCACCAGGGCAGTCCAAGCTGAGAGCTGTCCCCGCTGCCAGCTGCAGCTGCCCTGGGGGGCAGTAGGGCCCAGCATGGCCAGCTCAGCACCAAGGCTGGGCAATAGAGGGGCTGCAGCTTCCCCTCGTGCACAGCCCTGGCCTGTCCTCACACATGCTGACGCCCCTGGCCCTGGCACACCCCCAGGGACTTGTGCCCCTGGCAGGGACTGAGACCCCATCCCCACCCTTTTACTCTGTGCTTGCCCCTGCAGCCCCCAGCACTGGGCAGGGCCCTGCCGGAGCTCCCTGGTGCAGCCCCTTCCCCACCCTGGAGCAGGCAGGGCGGCACGGCAGACTCAGCGCCCAGCTTCTCCTTGCAGCCGCTGGTGGAGCTGCCGGTGCTGGAGGGGCTCACTGCTGCGAGCGGGGCCCAGGGCCGGCAGCCCAGCCCCTGGAAGAACCGCGCTTCGCCCTGGCCCCGGCAGCACCCCACGGACCCCCAGCCACGCTGGCGGAGGAGGCAAGTGCCCGACAGCTGCAGTATGGGGGAGCTGGGGGGGAGTCCATACGGCATGGGCATGGCTACTGGGGGCATTTGCAACAGGGGCAACAGGGACACATGCCCTCATTGAGGGTGCCCAGAGCTTGACATGTGTGGAGGTGGCCAAGGGAAGGCAGGCAGAGACAGGACTTGAGATCGTGGGAGGCTGAGTAGGGCCTCGCTGAGCATCCCAGGGCCTGAGCCAGCCACTAACCCCGAGCTTGCCGTCCCACCCTGGCAGGAGCCCAGGCAGAGGCAGGAGCTCTGCCAACCAGCGCCCACCGAAGCAGCCTCAGGGCACCACACTTCCACCCCCGCCGCAGGGGCAGGTTGTGCCCTCAGCGCCCCCCTGGCCCGAGGAGCCAGGGCAGGAAGGTGAGCAGGAGGCTGCGGTGGGCTTCATCCACCCAGGAAGGTGCTGGGTGCTTGCCAGGAGGTCTTCACTCATGAGCAAGGGAGGTGGCTGCAGCCTTGGAGGCAAGCCCTGGTGGGGCCTGGAGCGGCGACTCCTTGGGAACGGGGCTCCCAGACTCCTACGTGACTTAGGGTCACATCCCTTTGCCCAGGCACAAGTTCAAGTTCCTGGTGGGTCCCAAGAGCTGTGGGGAGCTGGGGCTGGGGCCAGGTGCAGCACACTGACCCTTGTCTCCTGGCTGCAGCAGATGCTGTCCCAGCGCTGGAAGAGGCACTGGCCTTGCTGCCAGAGTGGACCCAATACTGCAGCCTGCCGGGCCCCAGCTCTGCTGGCCAGGAAGCCAGCCAGAGGCCTTGAGCACTGGCTGGACGTGATGACTGGGTCCGTGCAGCCGGCGCCCGACGCTGCACACAGACTCCTGCTCCCTCTGCAGAGCGCCTGCGTCCAGGCTGGCGCATCGTCACACTGTGGACTGAGGGTCACGGGCCCTGCTGGTGCCAGGGGAGCTCTCTCGGCTCCAGGCACGGCCAAGCAACCTGCAGCCCCCAGTGGAGATGGACGGACAGACAGACTCAGCTGCGGCACTGCCTCAACTCACTGTTTATTTGGCTCCAGCAGAAGCTGGGGCGGCACCAAGGGGGCGGCAGGTCCCCGTCAGGGTCTCTTCGGTTCCAGCCGGGGGCAGCCCAGCCAGTACTGGGCGACGGGCCGCGGGTAGCGAGGGTGCACCCAGTCCACACGCATGGTCTTCAGGTTGACTCGGTAGTACTTGTCTGAGAAAGGGACAGAGCCCACGTCACAGGCCTGCAGCGCTGCAGCCGCCCCTCTCCCAGCTCGGAGCCAGCCCCGGCCACAGTGCTGGCCACACCAAGCCCCGGCTGGCCTCTCCCTGAGGGTCCCGAGCCCCCTGGACCCATCCCATCTGCACCACAGGCAGGGTCTGGGTGAGACAGGGCCTTGGGCTACTCCTTCCTGCCCACCCCTGTCAGCCCAGGGTCTGCGCAGGGCTGTGCAGAGTGGTGCGGCCTGGGGAAGGGGTTGCTAGGGCCCACCAGGCTCCGGGGAAGCCAGGCCTTGCTTGGGAGCAGCGCATCCCGGTACCCACCTCCCACGAAGAAGTAGATGCTCTGGACGGGCTGGCACCGGGTGCCCATGTACACCCAGTCGCTGTCCAGCTCCCAGGACTCAGAGTCGTCCTGCAGCCAGGGCCAGAAGCGGCGGGGGGGG